GCCCCCCCCCAACTTTTGTTCTTTCCTCCCTCGTTCCCCCCCTCCCTACTTCCCCTCCCTCCCTTCCTTCTCCCCCCTCCCTCCAGTCCTCTCTCCCACTCTCGCTCCCCCCCTCTTTCTTCTATCCCTCTACTCCTCCCTTCGGTGTATTTCTACAATCTAGGTCAGTGTTTCTCAACCTTGGCAACTTGAAGATATGTGGACTTCAATTCCCAGAATTCCCCAGCCAGCCATGCTTGGCAACTGACATATAGAAGTTGCAGCATCCCAGGGTCACTTAATGGCCATTTGTATCCTTGCCAGCTGGCTTCTAACAAGCAAAGTCAATGGGGGAAATCGGATTCGCTTAATAACCCCATGAGTCCCTTAACAACTGTAGTGATTCCCTTAAAATTCCCTTTTTTTAAACTTTTGTATTATGTGTTTCTTTTAATGTTGTACGCCGCCCTGAGTCCTTGGGAGAAGAGCGGCATATAAATCTAATAAACCTAAACCTTAAAACCCTGGCAAAAAATGGTTGCAGAATTGGGCATGACTCACTTAACAACCGCCTTGCTTAGCAACGGCAATTCTGTTCCCATTTTTGGTCGTAAGTCGAGGACTAATTGTAATAGGCAGCAACGTGATGGAAGGAAATGTATACATTTTAAATAACCCGACAGGACAGAAATAACCTTTTCCTGGGTGTTCCAAAATCAGTTAATTCTTGATTCCTCGTAAGGGGCTGCCGCAAAGAAGAGGGGACCCACTTACTTTCCAAAACCCCTGAGGGCAGGACAAGAAGCAGTGGGTGGAAACTAATCAAAGAGAAAAGCAAGCTAGAACAAAGGAGAAAATTCCTGGCAGAACAATTAATTAGTGGCACAACTTACCATTATCATCATCATCATCATTTAATGACCCTATAATCCCTTCCGGGGTGGAGTCAGGGCAACGGAATGGAACCAGCAGAGTGTTTAATGGCCAGATGCCTTTCCTGTTGCCAATGCAGAGTTTTATTCAGCAGGTATATTCCCATTATGCCCAGAGAGAGAGAAATATCTGCCTCTACCTAGGATTGAACTCACAGCCTCCTGATTGTGAGGCCAGAGCTCCACCTCTAGGCCACCACACCACTCGGACAACTTACCTCCATCACTGGAGGTTTTTTAAGAAGAGGCTGGACAAGGCTTTGTCCAGGTGGGTTTCCCGCGTGAGAGCAGGGAGGGTTGGACTAGAAGACCTTCAAGATCCCTTCCAACTCTGTTACTGTTGCAAAGGATGTTGATGCCACACTAAACCACAGGGAGAGAATTGCCTGTCTCTGCTAACTTCCTGGCTCATTTTGGGTACCAAATGATGTTCTGTGTGTCCTCCTAGGATTCCAACACCAACAGTTCCCTGACAGAAGTCAACAATAAAATTGACGCTGAGATTGCAGCTCTCAAAACACTCATGGAGTCGAATAAGCTGGAAACCATCCGGTATTTGGCAGGTATGTGCCAAATTAAAAGCCAGCCTCCAAAAGCGGAATGCTTAGCAATTGAAACAAACCGACAGCATCCTCTGTAGTTGCCGAATGATAAGAGACGTGGTGGCACAGTGCTTAGAATGTGGTTGTCCAAATAGCATACAAATCAGAGTTCAAGGCAAAGTATTCCTCAAAGTTCCAATTTATTAAGAGAGCNTGTCAGAAATGGTATAGCGTCCCCTGCTTGAGCTGGGGGTCGGACTAGATGACCTACGAGGTCCCTTCCAACTCTGTTAAATCTGTTAATCTGCAAAAGCGGGGAGGAAGGGAAGAGAATGTGTTGGCTCTCGACTGACATCTAGCGGTCGGGATTTTCGCACCTAACCCCGCAGTCCGCTCGGCATGCATTTCCCATCGTGCTTTGAGGCCAGAAGAGGGAGACGACAAGAACGCCGGTTCGATTAAAAACAAACTACATTTCCCAGAGAGCCACGGGGTTCCAGACCGGAAGTCCCTTTTCCTTTTTCTCTTTAGAATTGCTTTGGGTGTAAATTCTGAGTTTCCAGCAAGAAGCCGTTGGGAAGATGCTGCCCACGGGTCCGAGGGTTGGGAGTCTGTTGCTGCGGGACATCCAGAGCTTTGCTGCACGGTTCAGAGGTGAGACAACGTGTAACTTCTTCACCAGGTCGCTTGCAATCTGATAAACCGAGACAGCCAGTGTCTGAGTTTCTCCCAAAATGGTGTTGCTCTTTGGCTTGATGCTTTCTCCGAATTATATCTGAGAAATATCCTGAAGTGTTGCATCTGATGTTAACCCAATGTATTGAAAGAAAATCAATCCCTGGGTTGAAAACTAATTTTAAAACTCAATTTAGATAGATATTAGTTTGCATTTAGTCCGTGCTTCGTTGCTTTCTCTCTCTCTCTCTAGAGGGAGAGAGAGGGAGATGGATAGAGATTAAAAGAGAGAGAGAGACATAGATAGACAGAAAGATAAATAGAGAGAGAGAAATAGAGATAGAAAGAGATAGATAAAGAGAGAGAAATATATATATATAGAGAAAAATAGATAGATAAAGATAGATAGATAGATAGAGATAGATAAATAAATAGAGAGAGAAATATATAGAGATTGATAGATAAATAGATAGAAGGATAGATTAATAGAGATAGACATAGAAAGAGAGAGAGAAATATATAGATAGAGATAGATAGAGATAGATAGATAGAGATAGAAAAAAAGATAGATAAATATATAGATAGATAGATAGATAGATAAAGATAGATAGATAGATAGATAGATGATAGATAGATAGATAGATAGATAGATATAGATAGATAGATAGATAGATATAGATAGAAAGATAAATAGATAAATATATAGATAGATAGATGATAGATAGAGATAGATAAATAAATAGAGAGAGAAATATATAGAGATTGATAGGTAAATAGATAGAAGGATAGATTAATAGAGATAGACATAGAATGAGAGAGAGAGAAATATATAGATAGAGATAGATAGATAGATAGATAGAGATAGATATAGAAAAATAGATAGATAAATAGATAGATAGATAGATAGATAGATAGATAAAGATAAATAGATAGATAGATATAGATAGATATAGATAGAAAGATAAATAGATAAATATATAGATAGATAGATGATAGATAGAGATAGATAAATAAATAGAGAGAGAAATATATAGAGATTGATAGGTAAATAGATAGAAGGATAGATTAATAGAGATAGACATAGAATGAGAGAGAGAGAAATATAT